TTTTTTTTTTTTAAATTATTATTTATTGATCATTGAATAAAATTACTGTTGATAGATAGAAGCATCCATAAGATGAACCATTAAAAATACATTTTCCCTCAACATTCACAGAAAAAAGTATTCAAGCATACCTGGAAGGGGTACTTAAAGTATTAGTTGATTAAACAACTTTTTTTTTAAGTATCTAGAGCTCAGCATTCAAGTGAAGTTAATTAACGACGTTGAGTTTTATTCGTTATTCATTCCTGACTTATTGATTGGAAAAAAAGCCAGACATCTCAAAAAGCAGCTCTAAGTATTGGATTTTAAAGCCAAAAAAAAAACCATTTGAAGTTGTAGACTTGAAAAAAAGTGTTCACTGAAACATAAATACTTTGTTTATATTTTTGTATCAATAGCTTTGAGAGCTTTTATTTCTTAGTAGCATGAGAGGTCAGGGATCTTCAGTCTTTCATGAAAATTATCCCAAGGCGGCGCCTGTGTAAATGGAAAAAGGCATATCATAAGTAAAATGAGTGGGGTTACTCTGGTAGGGTACAATTTCTCTTCGACGGCGCCTTCATTTCTCGACTGCTTATTGTTATGTGAACATTAATACCCAGCTTCACTCTGGTGAGAAGCCACGCGAGATGTGCAAGCCAGAAAGCATGAAAGAGCAAGCCAGAGGGGACTTTACGATACTCAGCATCTGGTTTTATTCTACCCTTGTAACTCTGCAAGCTTAGGAATGCTTTTCTCTCTTACTTTCTCTTCATCGCTATAGCAACGTATATCTCTTCTTTACATGTATTATATACATCTACACACTATCTAGTTTGCTTTTTCCTTTTTTTATACTCCCTTTGCACAACTAAACGATGAGTTTCCGGCTTAAAGGGGTGCCAGGCAACAAAATTTATGCCTCGTCCTTAGACATATATACATATCACAACTATCTTCTGGCAAACCAAGTTAAGATGGCGACGAGTCTAGTCTCATTCCTAAAAGGGATCCAGGAATAGTAGGCAAGAAATTCTAGTCAAAGTTTTGCAGTATGCCTACACGTTTACTTCCAACATTTCCATCCTTGTTTCCTCTCTTGAGAACTCTCCTCACCTCTAGTTTATTTATTATACACTTGTGTAAGCTCTTTCTCACTTTTACATATTCTTCAATTCTCCTAGGCAATAAAATTTAATTTTTTAGCACTCTCATGGTATCCAATAGCACCTTTAGAGTAATGGGCATGCTAAAAAAATAATCAGCTGCAATGAAAAAGTTATAACTATATTAAGACATTATTTGTTCAAATAGTTTGATGATAAATAAATTTTTATTACTTCCAGTATGCTTGGAGTATGAGGGAGCAAATGTTGTACTAGGAATAAGTGGTGTTAGGGTTATAGTCCAATTTAAGATAGTGAGTGGAAATAAACTGGTAGTTAAAATTAAAGGGTTAAACTATGGTGATTCTAAGGTTGAATTACTGCTTTGTAGAATGAATATCTGGTGTCCAGTCTTTAAATCTTCCACCAAGGTATATATTCCTGTTCATATTGGACTTGGTGAGGTGTTAAAGCGTGTGAATACTTGCTATGTTAATTAAAGAGCTGGTGGAATTTTAAATGATGTAGTAATATCTCCACGTAATTTTTATCTGCTGAGATTTGACCATCTGACTTAAGCATAAGTTAAAGTAGGTTCTAGAAACTGGATTACAGAATTCTTTTTTTCATCATTAAGTATAAATTCATGGAGACATTGTTAAATTTTTCCCTCTTTTTAAATACTGTCCCAATCTTATAGAAAGATTTTTTTTTAAATAAGCTGCTAATAACTATTTAATTGTAATTTTTTATTCATGATGATAAATATAAACAGTTGGATGGTGAATTGGAACTGGAATAATTTTCATTAAATTGTAAATCACTCCAGCAACAGGAACTAATGTGTAGGTTCATGAGAAATGTGTGAGGGAAATTCAAAGTGTGAAATTATGTAACAAACACAGTATTAGTTGGTAAATTTCCATGAGTATTAGTACAATAATACTTCAAATGCTTATCAACTATATTGTACATAACTTTACAAGAAGTCATCTAGGAAAGTATGGTGACACTTGGAATTGATGATCTCGTTGATGTAACGTGAGTTTGCATGTTTAATTATATTATTTTATGGTTGACAATAATCATGATAACAAATGATGCATTATTTAATCATCATACATTGAATAAATTACTTCATACTTTCCCTCACATTAATCTAGAAAGTTTGGATCAAGAGCTAGTCCATCAAATACTTTCATCTCTTTTAGCATCTATCAATATTACCCTTTTTAAATAATCCAGCCATTTCAATTTATTCTGCACTCCAGAAATGGTAAACAAACAAAAGCCTTATTATCCAGTTAAAAATAAGATTTGTGCACTTTTAAAAAGCTACTTTAAGCCAGCTCAGCTCTTAAGTAATCTGCTTGAAGCACTGTTAATAATCTGTTGATTCCTACAAACAAATATCCATAAGAACAAGTTTAATACTCCATTTTATCTCCAACAAATGATGAATGATATTTGTGTACATGTTAGAAATTAGTCTTCCAATCTCAGTGTAGCACAACTTGAATAGAGGATGATAAACTCTTGGAGGTCTCTGGAGTGTTCAGGCAGTAACTTAGAATAGCTAGAGAACCGAAAGATGAACTAATTGACTACTTCCGTTTTGTTTCTTTCATAGGAAATTCGAAATAAATGGAATAGAGTTTTCTTTCATTGGGGTTCGAGAAAAGTGATGGAGGGGCAGATGAGAAATCTCAAGCTAATTTGTCTGCCTTTACTGCGAACTTTTCCATTACACTTGAATGGCTGGAATGAAAGTTGATTTGACATCTTTGTGGATGTTTTTATAGAAAAAAAAAAATGAAAATTGATGTATCATTTAAACGATCAACATTCAATTAGTCAATTAAATAAAGAAAAAATATATTTATATGAAATGATAACTAATTATTTAATTAAATTAATTGAAAAAAATTACTTCAATTTAGAAATGTGAGTTATTATTTTAATAATCTGACAGAGTATAATTAGTTTGTCAAGCATTTATATGAAAAATTCGTATCAGAGTTATAATAGGAATACATCGTGTTTCATTTAAAAATCCTCTAACATGGGGAACCAATTGGTTTTGTTTTATTTCTCGCTTGGCCGCGAAGCTTAATTTTCAATTATCGGTGGATTCTCCGCTTGGGTTTTCTCTCACCGATCTAAATTGGATTGAAGCCACTCCCGGACTGATTTACTTGCTCTCATACTCTCGTTAACACTTGTTTCGTGACGCAAATACTCTTATCATTTGTACTACACAGTGAGTGATGCTATTTTAAACTTGTATGTAAATACACGTTTTATCTTCATTAAAATCACATTAATCCTTCACCTTAAAAAATTAGCTCCATTTATTTTTTCACCAACAGCTATTTATAATCAATTGCAAAACGTTTTTGTACATAAAAATCAATTGATTGAGTTATTGAAGTGTTGTTAATGGCTTTGGAACATTATTATATATGGTAAACATTCTTCAAAATGCATTGGAGCATTGGCTGAGTGATATATATGGACCGACATTTATTCGTCTGATGGTCTCATCGAATTTCGCTTATTCAAGTGGCTTCACAAAACGACCCTTTCAAGTATATACATAGGGTGAAACTTTAACGCTCTTTGTATAAATGTAACTTAATTTCCTTACAGTGTTTTTCTTCGCTATAACCCAACGTTCTCTACATTCACGACATTCAAATTCGTAGGGTTGTTAATGTTAGAGGCCGGCAATAACATCCCTCGGCATTAGGAAACAAAGAACGACCCTTGAGTTTAAGTTTAGATGGTGTAGAGACAATGTAATGACCATGAATAAATAAAAATAACAATTGTTCATTTTAAAATTCTATTCTCCTTTTTATTGACATTTAAATGATTCATTTTAACTTATCTGTTAATCTTCAACCATCTTTTTGCACTTCAGTGATTTATTTATGCATGAGTTTATCTATTCTCTATTTTTTATGGTTATTCTTTAATGATTTTCTATAATGCTATGAGAAGTTGTCATTTTAAATTGATTTTTATCAAAGAATAAATTTGTGAATAAAAAAAAGTCATAGAATGATTTAAAACAAAATAAATTGATTGAAAAATTATTATAAATATTTTTCATGGATTTTATTTGCTTGAGAATAGTTGTAAAATAAAATCTAGTGATTTTTATGATAAAAAAAAAATAACTGAAGAGTTCTGAACTCTTTGTGTTCCAACATCGTGAAAATCCAATGAACATTAATATTCTATCGTTGTCTCAACGTAATGTGGTTCTTTTGTCTGAACTTGAAGAGGGTGGTAATAGCTAACATTGACTGCTTCCATTCATCAGTCTCGATACTCGAGAGCTGTCTGAAAAATATCAACGAACTAAAATGATAATAGTACTAAAGTCTACAGTAATAGAGAAAAAAAAACTACGCCAATATCAACATCGAAATTTTACACTTAATGATAACACTTATAAATTTTATTCGACAATTTAAATTCAATCCACTAGAATTATGGGAATCAATTAATACAATTAGTCCAATCAATTGTGTCGTGAGGGTGAGTCAAAGTTTGGATGTTAAGATAGGTTGAATGAAGAAAGACATTTGATGTAGAAATTTATGAGAGAATCAAATAATCAAGGTAAAGTTAACCCTCGTATTATTATTATTTCAGCATAAATTTATCATTAATTTTTCTTATTAAAACATCACTTAGAAATGCAGAAACTTTTCCAACTTATTCACCAGCAAACCATCTGAATGATGATTATTTTATATTTATGAGAAATGCTGACGAAAGGAGTTTTAAAGCAGAATAAATTTTAATTTACTAATTAATAGAAGCATCAAGTTTCATTTAAAAATACACGTTTTGATTCAAAGCAATTTGCATTAATTAATAAACAATCATTGTTTTGTTTTACAGGAGCAGCAGCAGCATCTAGAGTCTACGTGGATGCCCTTTCTAGACTTGCACGACAAGCACAGTTGGGCACCTGGGGTGGCTCACAGGATGTTGGTGAGTAAAACTTGATAACAACCTAATAATATCATTACACCATCAGAGTCGTTGAAAAAAAATTCTATTATATTTTCAACTGAACAAAAAGTCGAGCTTAATTTATTTTTAGTACATTTTTCGTTATAATACCTTGCATACTTTTATTCTATTTGGAGTGTAGACGAAGCCTTGAAAGCTCTTAAAGCCAATAAGAGCATGTTCGATGAACTACCTTTAAGTCGAGACCAGTTCTCTTGCTTATTAGATTTTTTGTATATTTTGCTTCTTCTTTTTAGTTTCCATATCATTGGCTGATTCTTTAGTTACATTTAACAAGATCAATGTATTCGCATGACGTTGGAAAAAATCAAGGCTGGGTCACTAACCTGCCATTATTATCTATTGGATTATGCATCATAGAGAGAGGATGTGTATGTGTGCTAGCTATTGGAATTCTCGTCAATAGGCATTACGAAACACCTCAAGTACACGTCTTCTTGATATATATTCTGTCTTGCATATTATCGTGTCGAATTCAATTCACTTCAAACCCTCTAATGACTTTGACACTTCAATATTTGGGTCAATGATCTCTTAATTAGAGAACAACCTTTTGTCATTTGGCACGAGAAATTCAAAAATTGAGTCATTGATGGGTTCTTGGGTTAATTAATGATTACTTTGCTGGAGGTTTATCAAGTAGACTTGAGTTGAAAGAAAACTACTTCATGTTAATTCAAAAAAGTTTGTTTCATTAGTTATTAATTTTTTAAGCTTTAAAGAGTTTTAAAATAGCAAATTCTTTTATTTACAAACCAAATAATTAGATAGTTTTTTCTTTATTCATTGGACTACTTTAAAACTTTTTGAAGTTGAAGAAGAGTAAATGGAATTCTCATCATCACTTTTAGAATTATAATTCAACTCATCATCATCAGCATTGAAAACATTTTTGATTAGATGAATGATGATGATGATAGTTAGATGACTGATGTTTGAATAATTGATTGCTCTGGATATTTAAACATTAATTCACTTGAACTCAGTGAAAATTGTTGGATAAAATATGTTCTCCATTGATTTATTTTATAATTTATTCAAACTATTCACTTGAAATAGCATCAAATCTATTTCAGAGGAATATTTGATGAAGCTGATTAAATCAAATCTCATGAATTGAGTTGAATTCAGCAGTAATTGGCTCAGATTTCTGAATGCGAATGTCAAATGCTTAAGAGAAGTATATCAATGTTAGGAGCTTGCACTGACCACAAGTGCGATTTATTATTATCGATCAGTAACAGCAGAAAAGCCAAGGTAATTCCATTGGTTGTAATTCGATCGGTCCAACGTGGTCTATTTGATGGCAGCCTCTTTACTCTTTGATTCATGTCTTTCCTCCTATTCGACCACCATTTTCTCGATATACCTCTGGAAGTTAGTGGTGAACCAATCTTGATTATAGAAGCCGTCCGAGCATGGTAAGGGTCACTGAATTCAATAGATTCGGTTACGAACCTTCCTGAAGGCCTCAGTGGTAATCCACAGGGTAATAATTTGACCTCTCATGTCACCACCTCCATTTTCGATCTCTTCTTTTTTATCCTCTATATATTATGAAAACTCTATATTACCCCTGCCTCTATCCAAACAGAACCTTTGTAGTCTGTCTGTAACAGGTGTTCAATACTTTTTTTTTCTTTTGTAATCGTGACAAGTTTATTAATGACAATGTGTAACGTGGCTTTAAATTTGTTGGAAAAAATGGAAACTTGTGAAAAGTCTTTTTTAAGAGACTTTATAAATTACCTAGAGAAATGTCTAAAAAATTTTCTGTAATAAAAAGTGAAATATTATTGGAATTTTCTTTATTTTTAATAATTAATTGTTCAACTCTTTTTTATATTACTTTGAATAATTTTTTCATAGTTTCAATTTTTTTAATTTAAAATATCTAATATTTTTTTTTCATATAATTTTATTGAAAATATTTTTAACTGAATAAATAATTTTACTCTATAAGTATCACAGAAAAAATTTTAATTGGCACTTATAAAAAAATTTCCACAATTTTCCATGTTTTTAAGTGAATTTAAAATTATTTATTGATCAATAGAGCTTAAAAATAAATTTATTATTTCAACATAAATTTTCTCTCATATACTAAAATTCTCTATAATTTCTAAACGATTTTGTAAAACACAAATTAGCCACCAGAGTTTTCGAGAGTTATTTTTTTTTTCATAAAATCCTCTTACAGTATATTCTTTGATCCTTGATTCGAAAAATTGTCCCCTTTGGGCACAAACAAAAAATGCCATATTCACGCGAAAAATATGAGCATAGAGTTTTTGAATCTGAAAATTCAAAGGGCAAGGGATACAAAAAAGAATGAAAATGTATGATTGAAAGGGAAGTGGAATAAGAGGGAATAAAGAAGGGGGTGGAAATGAGAGTGATATCGAAATTGGCAATATCGTGGTAGCGTAGTAGTCTCTTCCCTCAAGCGTCCGATCGATTCGGAATATTCGCTTGGAAAAGAGATTTCCACGATGTTGTAAACTAGCTCCTTGTTCAGTTTTCTCCCCTGTTACTTTTGGCGCCGGAAGTTGTGGCAACGACGTCGTAGAAATATTGAAACTCGATTAGAAGAGTATTTTCAAACGAGGTGAAGTAAAAGAGAAAAATAAAACTTGTATTATTCTTATAAATTTTTTTTTTTATGTAACATCTTGGAGAAAATAGGAAGTAAGAAGAAAACTTTCCAATATTGTTTTTTTCTTTTCAATTGTTTTTTGTTCCATTCAGATCCTTATTCTATACTTTGGGGGTTCAGATACATCCAATAGTCTTCAATCAAATATTTTTTTTTTTTTTTGGTTGTGTTTTCTAATTTTTTTTTTTTTGCATTTTATTTTTTCCTTATTTGTTTTTACATAAATTAAACTTCAACGATTTTATGATGCTTCACTCGAAAACCAACTTATTTTCTGAATAATTAAAAATGATATTTCATCATGATATCGATATCATTCTCTGAATGAAATTTTAAAATTATTTTCAAAAAACTCATTCATGAAACCTTATCATCTATGTAAATAGATATGATATCAACATAAACATAATCCAGATGTTGACCAAAAAAAACTTCATTCATTTTTTTAATCAAAAATATTATAATTAAAATAATCACATCTGTTTTTAAAATATGCTAATAATTTTTTCTTTCTTATCTCATGTCAGCAATAAATATTTATTTACTAAAAAAATTGATTTCACATCAGATAGATTCTCATCTATAAATACTATAAATCTTCTCATTAAACTAATTATAAAATGAAGTAGTTCAACTATCATAATAAATGAAATTTCAAAATTGAATACAAATCGCCAATTATTTCGTCAGTCAGTTAAATCCTAGTAAACATTTGTAGATTGAATAATTCCATCATAACAAATTATTGTAAACTCATTCAATACGATTTGCTTAACGAGTGGAAATGATGATGAAATCACAGTTCATAGAAGCTTGCAAGGGTGTTATATAGTATTGCACATGTTATCACTCGATTTTCTCCCTTGTTGACCTCTTTCTCTCTCTTCATCTGGACTCACTTGCATATTATCTCTTTTTATTCCTGTCGCTTTACACCTGCACCACATTGCCAGTGAATGTATAATAATTTGCCAGAACGTGCATCGTAATTTTATGCAATTATCCGCATTGCCACCAACCAGACTTCAACATGGAACATCAGCTTCCGGATGTATATGATTCTCATTCCTCCACTCATCTTTCGGTCGTTGGTAGTTTGGTGATGCTTTAGTTCCATATATGTATACTCTTCCTACATATACATATCCTGCATATGCACTACAAGCCCTTTCGTCCTTTTCCTCTGACCTTCATACCCTCTTCAATGCAACCCTTGCAAATGCATCGTCTCATTTCACGGTGAGTTGGTCGCACGTTAACTTCCCATTCGTTACCAATTTACATTATTATTAAAGACCGTTTACACGCATGCTTGCGTGAATTCTCACTGGAATTTTAATGCTCTTCTCTCTATGAAATATATACCCATAAATCCAATATTCTATCGGTTATATTATTCAGAATATATTTTAATTATTTACAGCTTTTTATGTTTTATTTTAAATATATTAAAGATTGATCAGGTTCCATATACTTGAGCTGAATTTTTATTGATAATTCTTTTTACTCAGCTATCATTTATTCATTTTTTTTTTTAAACAAAAAAAAAATAAATTGATATAATACTGACAATTTTTTAATCCTTTCAAAGCTTTTATTTAAATAATTTTAATCTTTCTCGGATCAAAGTAAGCCAATTTTGTTCTAAAAATCAACTTGTAGCTTTGATATCAAATTTTTTTATCCAATACATTTGATCAACACTATGGATTTTAGATTAAAAAAATAATTGATTAACATTCAAAAATTTTTAAACTAATTAGAAGACTAATTTGTTAATTGAGAAATTAACTACTAAATCTTGGGATTATTTCTTAAATCATTGGAACAATAGTAAAATTAAAGCTATTACTAACTGGTAGAATGTAATAATCAAAGTTAGAATGGAAGTTAAAGTTAAATAACAAACTTAAAATCAAGTGTGGATAGAAAAGTAAAATTGGATTACATGATTTGATTTAAAATTTTCCAAGTAGAATAGAAACATTACGTAGGTTTTGTATGACATAGATCTGAATTACATTCAATGACAATAAAAAACGTACTTGTAATTATTTCATTCCAATTAATACCACTAATTTATTTAAATCCGAGAAAATCCAAAGCTTTTATCTCAATCCAATAAACATAAAATTCGAAGCCATATTTGGGAAGTAATAAGGATTCCGTTGAATAAAAAGATGGGGAAAGTAGATTGAATAAATTTATTCTTAAAAAGTATAGAAAATATAAACTTCTTAATCGTATGGTTTCGTAATAACGTTAGGTATTGATATAAACTGTATATCATCCCTGAGAATGG